GACACCTCACAGTCCTGTCTGCGCTCTGCTCCTCCCTTTGCGCCAGTGTCAAGGGGAGGGGGTCTCCAATTCACTCGCCCATCCAGTCTATTAATAGAACGGAGACCACTCCCCCCTTCAATATATTGCACTTTCCAAACAGCGATCGATGGAGGCGGAGCCTAGCATTCCAGTGTGGTGCCGAACGTCTTGCGGCAGTCCAGGGCTTTGGGCCCGGGGAGCAGGGCCCGCCTCTTGCGCAGTTCCTCCTTCCCCATGGCGTTCCCCAGCTTCTTGCACGCCGCCTTGTACTTGCTGTCGAACGCGGCTGTTCGGGGGACAAAGACAACAATTGTAATTCCTATTTACATCTCAAATACCCGGGGCCCGTCTGTTGTTGTTGTCTGCAGCCTTCCCTCTGACCAGTCACTCACCTATATCCATGTGTTCTCTCCCCAGAGCAGCCAATGTCAGAAGTAACATCTCCCTGTAGATACCCCTAAAGGAAGAGAGGAGGAGGGGCAGGTTAGAGGACACGCTGCATAAATGACATCGTTTACAGTCTCTGACCATCTCCTGTACCATGACTGCAGTCTCTGACCGTCTCCTGTAGTATGTCTGCAATCTCTGACCATCGCCTGTAGTATGCCTGCAGTCTCTGACCGTCTCCTGTACTATGCCTGCAGTCTCTGACCGTCTCCTGTACCATGTCTGCAGTCTCTGACCGTCTCCTGTAGTATATCTGCAGTCTCTGACCGTCTCCTGTAGTATGTCTGCAGTCTCTGACCATCGCCTGTAGTATGCCTGCAGTCTCTGACCGTCTCCTGTACTATGCCTGCAGTCTCTGACCGTCTCCTGTAGTATGTCTGCAGTCTCTGACCGTCTCCTGTAGTACGTCTGCAGTTTCTGACCATCCTTAGTATCATGTCTGCAGTCTCTGACCATCTTCTGTAATATATCTGCATTCTCTGACCATCTCCTGTAATATATCTGCAGTCTCTGACTATCTCATGTAGTATGCCTGCAGTCTCTGACCATCTCCTGAAGTATGCCTGCAGTCTCTGACCATCTCCTGAAGTATGCCTGCAGTCTCTGACCATCTCCTGAAGTATGCCTGCAGTCTCTGACCATATCCTGCACCATGTCTGCAGTCTCTGACCATCTCCTGCACCATGGCTGCAGTCTCTGACCATCTCCTGCAGTATGGCTGCAGTCTCTGACCATCTCTTGGAGTGACACGGCAATCTTTGATTCTACCCTGTTGCATCTTTCGAGTCCATGATGTCTCTTACACCATTAAATATGTGTGGCCCCCTTTGGTAATGCCAGGAGCCACAGCTGAGGCCCCCTATATCCAAGTTAAGAGAAACCCCACCTGTTCAGAAAGCCCCGCCTGCTCGGGAAGCCCCCGCCTGCTCGGGAAGCCCCCGCCTGTTCGGGAAGCCCCCGCCTGCTCAGGAAGCCCAACCTATTCAGGAAGCCCCGCCTGTACAGGAAGCCCCCGTCTGTACAGGAAGCCCCCGCCTGCTCAGGATGCTTGCCGCATTATAAAACCATACAATGGGAAGGAACCCGGAGACAACTTGCACCTGTTTCTAGAGTGACCCCATCTGGCAGCAGAGAGGAACCTGAGGCGATATAAAGGAGTGGCCGTACCTCTGCAGAACCTGCGGGGGAGAATTCTGCTCCTGTAGGACGGACAGGACCAGCGAGATGGCTTTATGGACCTCGAAGAGCCCGATGTGATTCAGAACCTTCTCCAGGAACTCCATCGTGAAGGGGTGAGAATGGGAGCGCCAGCCTTGGAGGTGAGTGGGCAGATTCCCTGTAGGCGGGGACAAAATGATGACATCATCAGTCACTGGAATAGTAACTACATCTGGATGACCATGCTTATGGGACACTAGGAGAAAACTGAGGCATGCTGGGAAGAGGAGGAGTTATACAGGGGGAGGGGCGTTGTTGTCACTGATGTCATCACTGGGTCTCTGCGCTTCCATAAGGGAGGTTGTGTGCAAATATTACAATTCCTTGATGGGTGGGTGTTTTTGCATGCAGACCACCCTAGGGTAACGCCCACATGTGATGCTGAGCCGCCGTAGCTGAAAGAACTGAAATCCAATGAATGAAAGGGGCCGGGCCAGCGACAGTCCACATGGGGAGGAAAGCGCTAGATGATGCTGGACATCATCTCCTTGTATACTCACTATGTAGCTTCCAGAGGACGTACATGGGCGGCCAGCGGTCCGGGTCCTGCACCAGGATGTCCCATAACAAGCGCACGCTCACAAGAGTGTTGTCCGGCATCTGCAAAGAGGAGGGGTCGCCGTAAACTCATTTAATATGATAAAAAGGACCGCCCTCCGATTGCCAGCCACTCCCCCCGCTCACCTGTGTTACGCCCATTGTATGTGTTACTCTCCCCTCCTCCACCTGTGTCATTTCTCCCCCTTCCCACCCACCTGTGTCACGCCCTCCCTCCTTCCCCATCGCTCCCCTGGCCCACCTTTGTCGGGCACTGGACATGCTTGGATGCCAAGATGAGCTGCGGGAGGTTGCTGGGCAGTGCCAGTCTCTGGAAGAACCACACTAGATTCCAGTAGATGATTGGGTGGCTGTTCACCAGCTCTGGCTGGGACAGGAAGTCGCTCCCTTCATTCTCCAGCAGGCTTTCCACTTCCTTACGTAGCACCAAAGGGCAGAGGTACGCCACCGTCACCATCTCCGAGTCCACGTCGCTTGCACGGTGCTAAGAAATGGAGGGCGGCACAACCCAGTTACAAGAATGTGACAAGTCATACCCTAACAAAGCAGCTCATAGTGGATCTGCAAGGGGTTAAATTATGGTCTGTATCATTGTCCTCTCTGCACATAGATCTTACCTGGACATTCGGGAATCCATTACACTGACCGCTGGGGTCTGCCTCATCCAGGACCAAACACTGGTACCGGTCGCTTAAAACAGGTCCACGGCTCACTGCACTGCCATCGGTAGAGACCTCAGAGGAACCATCAGATGCGCTGCGGGCACAATATGGGGACTTTACTTATTATTGGGGAGCAGAAAAGATTAAGGGGGGACGGTTTAAAAATATTGGGGAGGGCTTAAGCCAGGGATAGGCTACTCAAGGCACACGTGACAAGGTGGCCACCCAATGCCATTTTCAGTGGTTCCCGGATGATTGTCACGTGGCATGCGTGAAGGCTTGGACTGGCCCAATGGAGGATTCCTGTTTCCTGCAAATGCAGCACTGCTGCCATGGGCTGTAAATGACAGCTCAATAGGCCATCAATTACAAATCCTGGCCTGCCCTTCTACCCCTATGGCCAACCTACCTCCATGGCGTTTCTGAGAGACCCGTCTCACGTCACTGACATGAAGGTGATGGCCCTACTCACAGTAATAGCATGGGCCCACCTGCGGATGTCATTATGTGAAGCATGCCCACCTACCCTTATCCTACATCTAGTGGGAGAGGGCACTGCAGCAGATATGAGTGTAAAACCCCTGCACACCTATTGGTGCAGGAAGTGGGTCTGATCTGAGGTGTGAAGGTGCAGGAAGTGGGTCTGATCTGAGGGGTGAAGGTGCAGGAAGTGGGTCTGATCTGAGGGGTGAAGGTGCAGGAATTGGGGTGATCTGAGGTGTGAAGGTGCTGGAATTGGGCTGATCTGAGGGGTGAAGGTGGAGGAATTGGGGTGATCTGAGGTGTGAAGGTGCAGGAATTGGGGATGATCTGGAGGTGTGAAGGTGCAGGAATTGGGGTTGATCTGAGGGGTGAAGGTGCAGGAATTGGGTCTGATCTTAGGGGTGAAGGTGCAGGAATTGGGGATGATCTGAGGTGTGAAGGTGCAGGAATTGGGTGATCTGAGGTGTGAAGGTGCAGGAATTGGGGTGATCTGAGGGGTGAAGGTGCAGGAATTGGGAATGATCTGAGGGGGGAAGGTGCAGGAATTGGGAATGATCTGAGGGGTGAAGGTGCAGGAATTGGGGATGATCTGAGGGGTGAAGGTGCAGGAATTGGGGTGACCTGCCCTCACCTCCGCTGCCTCTGCAGGTCGGTGATCTTGACGTTCAGGAACGGTACAAAGTGCTGCCCGCAGAAGGAACACGCGGTCTTCAGGTTGGAGTCGTCAGACGTCCAGGCGGCCATGATGTCCTCGTCGTAGACGAGAGAATGACAGGCCGGACAGGCAGAGCAGCTGGACAGTAAGACCTAGAAGATGAGCGGAATCCTCATTATCCGGAGTCAGGTGTATGCTGAATGATATTTCCTTACACAGTCATATCAAAGAGCACCTGTCCTGCATGTTACATGTTACAGAACTTACTTCCACAGCAGGAGATTCCTGGCCTCCATCAAGCAAACGTTCAGTAGATTTGTGGATGGCAAAGTCTGACAGGTCCACTTCGCTTCCCAGGGACACGGAACTCTACAGAGGGCAGAGTTTAAAAGAAGACTTTTTACATTTTGCCTCCCACCAAACACCAAATAATGCAGTTATGTATTCAGTAAAAATATCAATACATTTATTTTCAATTGTAACTATTAAGTATGATAAGTGATAAATATGAGAGTGCTGGTACTGGAGGCTAGGGATGTCCCGATACCGATACTAGTACCGGGGCTGATACCAGGCATTTTCCCGAGTACTTGTACTCGGAAAAAAATGCCCCGATTCTTAAGGCCGATACCGGCCCTTTAAATTTACCAAACAGGAGCGGCCGTCCAAATTCCCGCGCTTGTGGGGACCACGGCAGCCTGCTGGGGACCTGCAGATAGCTGTCCATGGCAGTGACAGTACTTGAGGGACAGTACTTGTTCTTAAAAAAGTGGACATCCCTACTGCAGGCCAATCAAAACTGTACTGCATGAACAAGGGGAGAGAGCAGAAAGATGACCTCATCGGCCTGCTGCTGCTCCTTCACTTTCCAATCACAGGCTAGGGGAGGATAGGTGACCAAGCTGACATTGAATATTCTCTATTCTGTGATCCAACCAAAGTACTTCCTGCCAGATCAGAGATCAAGGCTTAGATCCGACTTTCAAAATATACAACTTTATCAAGGGGGCACAGGAACAACATTACAACATTCGGAAGAATGAATATATAGCAGGAAATAAATCTTCAGACAGGAAGGAGGATTTTCAAACTTTAGCTTAAAATGTAATGGGTCCAGTTTAGATACAGACAGCACGGTCCTCCTTTAACACCCCCCCACCCCCCTTACATCATACAGAACCCCCTCACCTCAGAAGCGATGGACTCAGGTCTTCTGGCGCTCTCCTTTTGGCTCCTCCAGCTTTGACGGTGATCTGCCAACACCAGTGGTGATGGGGTATCTCCCAACTGTCCGTTCCTCCTGAAGATGGAGGACCTAGAAGGCTTCCTGGAGGGTGTTAGTAGCTGCTGGATCTTCCCGGCCAAACTCCGCCTCTTGGTAGGGTCCCGGGAGTGGCTGGATCCCTCATCCTCACTACGGCTCTGACTAGTGAGGGCTTCCGAGGAACTTCCGGTCAGGATGAGCTCGGACTCCTCCGACGTCACGGTCTCGCTCCCCGTCCCGTCTGTCAGGAAACTGACGTTGGACAAGCTCCCGTTTTCCGAGGGTCGGTGTACGAGGGGCGTCCTAATAGACGATCTTAGTGACGGGCTGATGTCTGACCTAGTAGTGACGCCTTCCACCTCCAAATCCTCCATCACTGGGAAGGAACGAGAAGATGGACATGGATGGATTTTAGTAAACATGAAGAAGAGGGTGGAGGCTGCTCTAGTGAAAGATCTTCTAGCAATGAAGGTTTGGGCTGGTCATATTTATGATCTACACTAGTCCCGTAACGACTGAGAGGCTATGCTGTTGAAGAGTTCACTGTGATAGCCTCAAATACTGGCAAGTTGAGAGGTAGGCAGATGGGGTGGCCGGTCTTCAGCAGGACACGGTACAAAAAAGGCCGGACCTGCAACCTATCCTCCTGAACTAGTTCACAGCTTATGGAGGGGGAAGCACTTTGGCCTTTTTGACGTGGGTGCTCAAGGACCTTTTCCAAACACTAGCATTAAATGCCATTCGGCTTCTAAGACCATCATTTTCCATTGTTTAGCATCAAACTCTTCCACAACCTAACCTCCTAAACCCAAATCTGATGGATCAATGAAGCAGATGGAAACTGATCTCATTTGGACTTACTGGCCGTCGCTCCCATCTCCAGCATACAGGCATCGCTGACGCTCCAACTCTTAACCAGCTTCGCGGCCGGGAGGTCTTCGGGTATTTGGCTCGTGTGCCCGGCCCAGGTGGTCTGGCGCAGAAGATGGAGCCGAGGGGGTAGCTCAATGGTGGCGCTTTTGTGTTGCCATTGATCTATGAAGATCGGAGACAGCAAACAAAACACAATCAGGGCTGTCCACAAAAGTGCCCGCAGTTGATCCTAAACCAGAGTGTGCAACTTTTCATACGTTCTTTGAAATTTTTAGACATACGCTATATTGCCAAAAGTATTGGGACACCCCTCCAAATCATTGGATTCAGGAGTTCCTATCACCTTCATGGCCACAGGGGTAAGAAATTAAGCATTTCCTCTAACATCAGTACCCGACCTCACAAATGGTCCAACATTCCCACAGACACACTCCTAAACCTTGTGGACACCTTCCCAGAAGAGTTGAAGCTGGTATAGCGGCAAAGGGCGGAGCCAACTCAATATTGATCCCTACGGACTAAGACTGGGATGCCACTAAAGTTCATGTGCGGGTAAAGGCCAGCGTCCCAATACTTTTGGCACTATAGTGTATATTAAAGAACAAAAGGTAATCAGAAGCCCACAATTGTCATTTTTAGAAGAGATAGTTACTGAAAATGACATAAGAACAGTCTTGGACCTCTCACCCTTCCTGCTTACTGACGGTTCCTCACTTGGATTTAAAGACTGAGAGCTGGTCTGCCTCTGCCGGAGCGGCTGGCGGAATTGAGCGGCACCCAGAACCACGTTCCTAAGTTTGGCCCAGCGCAGTCTCCCACTCTGGTTACTGGACGGCCATTTGCTTTCCAGCACAGCCTGTGACAGAGGAGGAGCATTAGTTACAACCGACCAGGTGGATACATTGTACATATAACGTGCTAGTTGCGGCTGTGCACCCGGTACCTTGTTATAGTAACCATAGGTGATGGCGTTGGGGACGATCCCGGCTTTCCTCATCTCCAGCATCACACGAACTGCCAACACTGGCTCCCCGTACTGACCGCAAAGCTGCATCAGGATGCGGTAACAGACCTGCAAGGGAGGATGTGGGGTCAGGAAACATCTGGCAGTAGCAAAAAGTTTCATCAAAGACCCATGGGGAAAGAAAAAAGCACTTTGGGTATTGGTGGATAATGTATATCGACTAAATATACAGCGCTAAAGTTTCAATTAGTGGATTTTACATTATTCGTGTATATATAACAACGGTTTCTAACATGCAACTTTATCGCTATGTTATAACCAGTGATATGTGAAAAACAATATTGTTACAATGATTGGTGTAAAAACCCTCTGCATAAGAATTATTAATGAAAATAAATGAATAAAATTAGAGGTGCACCGAAAAGGAAATTTAATGACTGTGATAGGCGGCAGAGCGGTGTGGGAGGAGACGCCGGCCGCTCACAGCGCTCTCCACCGCAGCACAGGGCCCAGCGGGGAGAAAAGAAACCAGGGATGCGCCGATGTATCGGCCGAAACATGGCTCTTTCGGCATTATGCCAAAAGTGCCATTTTCGGCCGATATGTTTTGGCGCCGATATATCGGTGCATCCCTAGAATAAATAAATGATGGTGTTTACCGTAACATTCGTGACCAAAAACAGACGATCAAATGATGGTATTATGAAATAGTTTGTATAAGATTTTTTTGACATTTCTGTGCTGCGTCTCTGTGAAATAAACATAAAGAAAATAACGAAATCACGATCTCTGTGATAATTTGCCTCTGTGAAAAGAGAGTTTAACAAATGAAAGAAAGTCTGATATTCCAATCCGTTTCAATGAAGGTGATCAAAACCTTCCAAGTGTTCAGTGATATACACAGTGTTTATTCTGGGGAGTGTATGGTTACCAAAACACATCCCTTCAAAGTGCGTACTCACCACAGGCAGCCCCACACGTTTTGTCTACCGGGGCACGTTACTCCGGTGTCTTTACCGGCACCTCCTATGCCTTCGATCTCCAAAGTAAAGGATGTTCATTCACTCATGTAAAGAAAGAAATCCCTCATGGCGTAGTATTTCCAGGAGTAGTTTGTTCGAAAGTTAAAATGTCAATTACAATAAAAACACGTCCGGCCGGTCCAACAACTATCAGGTTTGGTATGATAGACCCGCCCCTACGCGTTTCGTCACCAACGACGTCCTCAGGGAAGCATGCAGGTCTGGTCACGAATGTTACGGGAAACACCATCATTTATTTATATTAATAATTCTCATGCAGAGGGTTTTTACACCAATCATTGTAACAATATTGTTTTTCACATATCACTTGTTATAACATAGCGATAAAGTTGCATGTTAGAAACAGCTAGAGCGCAAATCTTGGGAGTGTGAATGGTGTGGGGACAACCAGTGTCTATGGAATACAGGTAGAAAAGAATGAACAAAAAATGGGGACTTACGTGAGGAGCCGAGGGTTCTGGCAAGGAGGGCCCCAATGGGGTTCTAGCGATGTGAGACGTATTCGGTGTATGGTGGTCTCCAGATGATGGTTTGGAGGCAAAACATACCAGGTCCTAGGATTTGGCCGTGACGGCTGAAATTGGTTCCATCAGGTATGAAGGTGAAACCGGGGGTGGAAGGATGAAATGAAGAACCAATTTGAACTGAGTGCTGTGTGTGCCGGAGGGCTAGTGGAGAGGCTGCCTCTGGTCTTGATCGCGGTGTTTTGGGACGTGATGGAGTGGAAGTGACAGAAGCCTGGGAAAGGACGTGCACGGAGCATTGGTGAAGGAGCGACACGGTTCTCAAGCTCAAAAGGAAAAGGTAAAAGGTAAGTCCCTTACCTTTCCTTTTGAGCTTGAGAAAGAGGATCTCCTCGAAACGCGTCGCTCCTTCACCACTGCTCCGTGCACATCCTTTCCCAGGCTTCTGTCACTTCCACTCCATCACGTCCCAAAACACCGCGATCAAGACCAGAGGCAGCCTCTCCACTAGCCCTCCGGCACACACAGCACTCAGTTCAAATTGGTTCTTCATTTCATCCTTCCACCCCCGGTTTCACCTTCATACCTGATGGAACCAATTTCAGCCGTCACGGCCAAATCCTAGGACCTGGTATGTTTTGCCTCCAAACCATCATCTGGAGACCACCATACACCGAATACGTCTCACATCGCTAGAACCCCATTGGGGCCCTCCTTGCCAGGACCCTCGGCTCCTCACGTAAGTCCCCATTTTTTGTTCATTCTTTTCTAACTGTATTCCATAGACACTGGTTGTCCCCACACCATTCACACTCCTAGGATTTGCGCTCTTATTGCTTCATTTCCATGTTCACAGGTTTCTCCCCCTGTTCTTAGAGCAGCAATCCTCATTGACCGCATCCACACATACCCCACATCCCCAAGAGAGCGCTGTGTCTTTTTTCCTTTTGATGTTAGAAACAGTTGTTATATATACACGAATAATGTAAAATCCACTAATTGAACCTTTAGCGCTGTATATTTAGTCAATATATCTCTTAGACCCACGGGTCTATATTACACCAGCTTTCAATTAACACTATAAGTGGTCACAGTAGGTCTAAGTCACATCATTTTAAATGTATTGTTCTATCATCCCTCACTGGTATATGGTACATATTTTATTGGTATAGGTTCATATGTTAATCAATTGAATTCTTTAGCGCTGCTCATCCAGTTAAACTATTGGTGGATAATGTGTCTAATAACCTCTCTGATTTCATCAACTGTACATCGCAGTTAAAGCTGAACTGCAGGTATAGAGTATAAAGCATACTCGCATTGGTCCAATGCAAGTATGCATATGATACACCTGGGCGCCCCATGGCTGTAAATTGGCGTAGTAGCCGGAGCTACTAGTTGGTAGTTTTGTTAAAAATTTTTGGTCAAAAATATTTACTTTACAAATTATTTGTTGATATATATAATGTAACACTCACCTGTTCTGCGGCCCAGCACTAGGTCTCCTGCCTGGCACTATGGCCAGTTAGGAGACAGCAGTCCTGGTTGATGCCAGCTTCAAATGTCGATGTATGGCTTGGCATTCAAGCAACATGTCGTTATGCCTAAGCTTACCCCCCCTCTGCCTCCAGTCACCCATTACCCCAGGAACTACAGCAGTCCTGTGCCTTCAGTTATTCTGTGACCCCTGTGCATTTCAGTAATCCCAGAGCTCCTGTGTCTCCAGGGACTCTGTGCACACTGTGCAGTCCAGTGACCCCAGTGCTCCTGTGCCTCTTGTGCACTTCAATGACCACAATGCTCTTTTGCCTCCAGTGACTCCGTGCCCCCTGTGTACTTCAGTAACCCCAGTGCTCCTGTGATCTCCAGTGATCCCAGAGCTCCCGAGTCTCCAGTGACTCTGTGCCCCCTGTGCACTCCAGTTACCCCAGTGCTTCTTGTGCACTCCAGTGACTCGGCGCCCCTTGTGCACTCCAGTGACCCCAGTGACTCGGTGCCCCTTGTGCACTCCAGTGACCCCAGTGCTTCTTGTGCACTCCAGTGACCCAAGTGACTCGGTGCCCCTTGTGCACTCCAGTGACTCCAGTGCTTCTGTGCCTCCAGTGGCTCTGTGTCCCCTGTGTACTTCAGTAACCCCAGTGCTCCTGTGCACTCCAGTGATCCCAGTGCTCCTGTGCACTCCAGTGATCCCAGTGCTCCTGTGCACTCCAGTGATCCCAGTGCTCCTGTGCACTCCAGTGATCCCAGTGCTCCTGTGCACTCCAGTGATCCCAGAGCTCCTGTGTCTCCAGTGCTCCCAGTGCCACCAGCCCATTGTAAACCCAGTATCTGGGTTTACAATGGGCGCACCATATAAGAAGTCTCTGGGTATACAATGGGCTGCACCATATAAGAAGTATCTGGGTACAGCTATGGGCAATAGAGACCTGACAAGGGTTCTAACCATTTAGATAACCATATCTCTGGATACAGCAACTGTGACTTGCGCTGTCCTAAATTTCCTAAAGTCCCGGCTGCACCATATAAGACGTCTCTGGGTATACAATGGGCTGCCCCATATAAGAAGTATCTGGGTACAGCTATGGGCAATAGAGACCTGACAAGGGTTCTAACCATTTAGATAACCATATCTCTGGATACAGCAACTGTGACTTGCGCTGTCCTAAATTTCCTAAAGTCCCGGCTGCACCATATAAGACGTCTCTGGGTATACAATGGGCTGCCCCATATAAGAAGTATCTGGGTACAGCTATGGGCAATAGAGACCTGACAAGGGTTCTAACCATTTAGATAACCATATCTCTGGATACAGCAACTGTGACTTGCGCTGTCCTAAATTTCCTAAAGTCCCGGCTGCACCATATAAGACGTCTCTGGGTATACAATGGGCTGCCCCATATAAGAAGTATCTGGGTACAGCTATGGGCAATAGAGACCTGACAAGGGTTCTAACCATTTAGATAACCATATCTCTGGATACAGCAACTGTGACTTGCGCTGTCCTAAATTTCCTAAAGTCCCGGCTGCACCATATAAGACGTCTCTGGGTATACAATGGGCTGCCCCATATAAGAAGTATCTGGGTACAGCTATGGGCAATAGAGACCTGACAAGGGTTCTAACCATTTAGATAACCATATCTCTGGATACAGCAACTGTGACTTGCGCTGTCCTAAATTTCCTAAAGTCCCGGCTGCACCATATAAGACGTCTCTGGGTATACAATGGGCTGCCCCATATAAGAAGTATCTGGGTACAGCTATGGGCAATAGAGACCTGACAAGGGTTCTAACCATTTAGATAACCATATCTCTGGATACAGCAACTGTGACTTGCGCTGTCCTAAATTTCCTAAAGTCCCGGCTGCACCATATAAGACGTCTCTGGGTATACAATGGGCTGCCCCATATAAGAAGTATCTGGGTACAGCTATGGGCAATAGAGACCTGACAAGGGTTCTAACCATTTAGATAACCATATCTCTGGATACAGCAACTGTGACTTGCGCTGTCCTAAATTTCCTAAAGTCCCGGCTGCACCATATAAGACGTCTCTGGGTATACAATGGGCTGCCCCATATAAGAAGTATCTGGGTACAGCTATGGGCAATAGAGACCTGACAAGGGTTCTAACCATTTAGATAACCATATCTCTGGATACAGCAACTGTGACTTGCGCTGTCCTAAATTTCCTAAAGTCCCGGCTGCACCATATAAGACGTCTCTGGGTATACAATGGGCTGCCCCATATAAGAAGTATCTGGGTACAGCTATGGGCAATAGAGACCTGACAAGGGTTCTAACCATTTAGATAACCATATCTCTGGATACAGCAACTGTGACTTGCGCTGTCCTAAATTTCCTAAAGTCCCGGCTGCACCATATAAGACGTCTCTGGGTATACAATGGGCTGCCCCATATAAGAAGTATCTGGGTACAGCTATGGGCAATAGAGACCTGACAAGGGTTCTAACCATTTAGATAACCATATCTCTGGATACAGCAACTGTGACTTGCGCTGTCCTAAATTTCCTAAAGTCCCGGCTGCACCATATAAGACGTCTCTGGGTATACAATGGGCTGCCCCATATAAGAAGTATCTGGGTACAGCTATGGGCAATAGAGACCTGACAAGGGTTCTAACCATTTAGATAACCATATCTCTGGATACAGCAACTGTGACTTGCGCTGTCCTAAATTTCCTAAAGTCCCGGCTGCACCATATAAGACGTCTCTGGGTATACAATGGGCTGCCCCATATAAGAAGTATCTGGGTACAGCTATGGGCAATAGAGACCTGACAAGGGTTCTAACCATTTAGATAACCATATCTCTGGATACAGCAACTGTGACTTGCGCTGTCCTAAATTTCCTAAAGTCCCGGCTGCACCATATAAGACGTCTCTGGGTATACAATGGGCTGCCCCATATAAGAAGTATCTGGGTACAGCTATGGGCAATAGAGACCTGACAAGGGTTCTAACCATTTAGATAACCATATCTCTGGATACAGCAACTGTGACTTGCGCTGTCCTAAATTTCCTAAAGTCCCGGCTGCACCATATAAGACGTCTCTGGGTATACAATGGGCTGCCCCATATAAGAAGTATCTGGGTACAGCTATGGGCTGCACCATATAAGAAGTATCTGGGTACAGCTATGGGCAATAGAGACCTGACAAGGGTTCTAACCATTTAGATAACCATATCTCTGGATACAGCAACTGTGACTTGCGCTGTCCTAAATTTCCTAAAGTCCCTTCAATTTGGGACTTTGGATAATAGTTGAGGTATATCAGAGGGAAGCTAGAATATTTGGAACTTCTGGCACAAAAAAAGTGATCTTTCAAGGTGACGAAGGCTACTTACCTCGTCTGGCAGCACCACGTTCTTAGTCTCCATCTGTTTCAGAGCATCGTAGGCAGTCTGCAGAGCTTGAACCTTGGAAGCTGTGGCTCTGACGAAGGTGGGCAGATAGATGAACCACAAGCCGTAGCAGTGACCGAGAAGACATTTTGCCCACATCTCTGGTCTGGAAGAATACATCTGGGCCACTCGCTGGGCAGACTTGATCTCCTGCCAGACAGAGAACAGGATTGAAAGATTCACCCCTCCTCCTGTCACCCTCCTAATTCAGTGACATGGCAGGGGAAGGGAAGGATGGGGGTGTGAGGCATAACAAGACTAGGCGCACTCCACTTCCAAATGTTACAAAGCGAACATCGGACTTTCACTTACTTGCTTAGTTCGTCGAGGTGCAGGGCTGCTAGGTGCGCTCGTTTTGGACTGAGCAGGGGGCGCCATCAGCAGATCTTGTGGAAGCTCAAACAGGTCTCTCTGCAGAACTGGGAAGGTATCATACCTGCGGCAGGGGAAAGAAAATGGATGAAACTGAAGAGCAACTCCAGACAAAACTTTCCCTGGTTTTAGAATGGGTGGATTAGAACCTCTGTCTGGTCTGTGCAGATTTCTCCTCACTTGTATCACCAGGACAGGGCGTCTTTTTTTTAATGGAGACAAGTAATTTTTTTAGGACCGATACCAGGTTTTTATTGCCGTGTCCCGACAGGATAGATTTCCCTTTACTTCCTGTACAAGTGGCTACACAGGGGAAATCGCTGCAATGGGGACACAGGCAGCAATAAAAACATGACAAAGGTTGTAACATTTCTACTTTCAGTCAACCAAGTCCTGACAAACAGCACCGCTTCAGGCGACCTCCAAAGAGCAAACCGGCTGCAGGTGCTTGGCCTTTGGGGATTTGCCTCCTCGCCTCACAGGGAAAAATTAAGGGCACACACTGCTTTCTTTTTTCTGAATTGAATAAACTTTATGGGCACCAGGCAAGCGTGCAAAGGAGCGCGCGCGCAAGGTCACTATAGCCTTCCTTCATCCGAGGTGACTGCACCCTTGGTGCATTTCATTTGCAATACTGGCTATTACTATGCCCGTAAAACCCATCAGGAGAGGAGTCTAGTTTGTAGGGATGCACTGATACCGCTACTAGTATCGATATCGGTGCCGATGCAGAGTAGTTGGGCGAGTACTCTACCAAATGCTCCAATGCCTAGCCCGATACTTCCTGTATCAGGAAGCCGGGCAGCACGTCATTACACGCTGCCCGGTTTCCTGATTGGCCGGGAAGCGGCTCCATGCTCTCTCGTCACGTGATGAGAGAGCATGGAGCCGACTTCCCGGCCAATCAGGAAGCCGGGCAGCGTGTAATGATGCGCTGCCCGGCTTCCTGATTATTATGAGGATTCATATGGGACGGCTTTCTTGTTAATCGGGAAGCCGGGTGGCGAGTCTTTACACGCTGCCCGGCTTCCCAGCTAATCATGCAGCCAGGTGGCGAGTCATTACACGCCACCTGGCTTCCTGAATGGGACTTCCGGTACTCGGTAATTGGTATCGGCGAGTACCGAAAAAAAAGCATCGGTACTCGGCACCAAAATACCGGTATCGCTGCATGCCTACCAGTTTGGATGGCGAAGGCTATATCTGTGTGACCTTGCTTCTTTGCCTGCTGTCCATAAAGTTTATTGAGAAAAAAAAAACAGCGGTGTGCGACTTTAATTCTGCATAAGCAATAAGAAGTGTTACAAAGTACAGAGGGCACCAAGTTGGTGAAACAAAACCTTACTTGTACTGAGCTGGCGTCTCTGTGCCGTGGGGGTCCTGCGGCTCCTCGGCAGGCATGATAAAAATGGTATGTTCACTGCGGTGAGATTCGTCCAGCTCCACCAGGTGAAAGTCTTCCATCTTCTCCCCATCAACTTGCACCTAAAACACAAATTAAACGACTCAAATCATGGTGCCAGGACTGAGGTGGGTTCAGACATCCGGGCAGAGGAGGACACGCAGACTTGTCAGTACCTTCTCCACACAGTTGTCGAAAAACTCGAGAGACGCCTGACGATCATTAACAAAGGAGCAGTCTTCGATAAACTGCGTGAACATCTGAGTCTTCACTAGCTGCGAGTAGAACTTCTGGTGGGCTCGGTCCCTGGACTTCTTGAAGCCTGGAAAGCAAAGAATTCTTCAAAAACACGAATGCACCACACTCCGAAATCCTCTAGAGCTCAGGGAGGGGATTGTCATTTTTTGAGTATATTGACAGGAGACGACTGCCCTGTATGAGGTCACCACCCATAGATGGAGATATACTATTGCAGATACCTCATACTAAATGGTTAGAACCCTTGTCAGGTCTCTATTGCTGTTTATGTCTCTGTTGGATAGCTGCAGCCTCACTATTTTTCCAAGTGACAAAAGTTATGGAAAATCCAAAATTGTATGACTCTCACCAGAACAAGAGGTAAAGGGAAATCTTCTAATGGGGACACGTGATCCAGTGACAGCTGTTTAATAGGCTATGTGGGTCGTTTGGCTTGGAAATGCATCAGGTACAGTCAACGCGTTTCAGGGGATTGATTCAGTCGCCTGCCCTCACTGTTGTCAGGATATTATAACGTATCATTATTATGTAGCTACAAAGGGGGGGGG